CAAAAGATACCTATCCACATGATATATAGTTAGCACTGGATCCAGCTGTCACAATGCAATAGTAGTATTTCACACCTTGGTAGCTGTGCTGTCTGGTTTCTTTTCATTCCGGACCAGACGTAGCATTCAGTTATTTCATGACGCTGTGAACTACAATGACATCACACCTTTCATAGTTTTTTCAGTTCGTTCTATGTTGCAAGTCCAAAAACTGCAACCATGATTATACTTTCGAATCTCATTGAAAACAGACCTATGCTTCTCTTCTGTGAATTCGTGTTTCTTATGTGAAGTAGGCAAAGTGGAACGAAAACAACGCTAAACAAGACAATATAACAATATAACCTCTTCCCTTCCCTCCCAATTTCCTGTTCCGTCTTGAGTTTTATTCCTTCATCACTTGTTCCTCCTCCCATTCTTTGTGTTTCATATTACTAATACAATCATGGTTCTGAGAGGAATAACAACAAAATTGCGGAAACGCGCAAATCAAGAAATCCAAAATTAAACCCTCCAATTCCTTCATACTCCTTCGCATTGTAAACACTGGAAAAGGAGACAGAAACAAATGTAGAAAAATGTATGGAACGTTAGGTAAGTAGATAGAGATGCAAATAGAAACTTAAAGCGTTTTAAGCAGGGGAGCGCTTGAGCAAGAATTCTTGCCAATAGGCCAAGCGCTGTACCGTTCCCTGCTTAAAACGCTTTCCAAGGCAGGCAGGCCCCGTTCAGTGATGCCAGACATGTGGAAGTGTCTTTCTATAAAGTACAAATCATACCAGTCATTGGAGAACATAGAAATGTCAAAATAACACACAGCATATACATCCTTGGGTTTTAAAAGCAATAGACAAGTATCCCCACCAACAATCTCGGAAAGAGATAACTAATGCATAAATCGAGAGTGGGGTTTAATCCATTGGCGGTTGGTAACAGTTTGAGCGCGCAATTCAAAACAACTGGCAAGCTAGCGCCGCATCAAGATGGCAGAGTAAATCTACCCAAACATCTTAACAATATTTTCTCCTACATTCAGATAAAGTACCTCTGAAACAATGGCACACACATCCGGTTGGCAGCCCTTTCATTCTGACGCATTATCAAAACAAATGAACATCCCTGTATTAAAATATAGGCCTACCCATTCCCATATATCCGATTTTATGAGGTTGAATATAACAAATCATCGAATATAATATCAACAGAGAATGTTGCTAGAATTCCTCAGACTTTTTTCACTTGAAATCTTCTTTATTTCATAGAATAGCAGATGTATTTAGAGAGACGAGTAGTAACATTACAGTAAGAGGTAAATTGTTCGTCTTATAATGATTTATTATTTATAAGTAAAACACTTTTTATTCCCATAATCTCCATTATCTCCTTTCGTTTTCATTTAATTTCAATTTCTTTGAATATGATTTTAAGAAAATTACAGAATCAGATACCGTGAAAAAAATTATATATATATTTATCTTATAAGATATTAAGCCGAGTTCCTGGCCAACTCCCGCATACGAAGGATCATTACCAGTACGGTACACGACCGACGCTGTTGCCATGGCGACGGTCCACCGCTTGACTTAGCAAGCGCAAGTCTAGCCATCTACGGAGGTAGCAAGAAAAAGTCTTGGGATTTTAGACAAGAACTTTCCCTGCTTAAAACACTTTTATCCACCCTGGCATGGGCGCCAGTTGGGAGAGGGGGATGTGGGCCCCATTTTATTTATCAGTCTTATTTTTTGTGAACATAGCTACACCTATATAGGATTAGTTATAGCCATAATATGTTCATGGAATAGTTCATTTCTCTTCCCACGGCGGCCCGTCTCTTGCTTTTGCTCCTGGAATTTAATCATGTTCTATAACGTACGCTTATTAGCCTCAAATATATACTGCGGCGAATTGATATCACATGATTTTCGTTCTAAGAGTCGGCGAAGACGAAGCTGAACAATACATATTACTACTAATATTGGCGTGAGAATTTCTGCTTTTCTCCTCAACATACAATGTTATTATAGACTATGAAATACGCTAAATCAGAATGAACTTTCATTTGACATTCTCTTTCCAAACAGCATTTCCATTTGTTACAATGGATATTCTTTGGTGTGACATGCTGTCTGTTTTATTTGACTTCTAAATCTCTCCCTCTGTGCATGTTAGGGGGGTTAATTACCATCCAACGGAAGCGCGCGGGATTGAACGCAGGTCAGCGAGAGAGAGAGAGAGAGAGAGAGAGAGAGAGAGAGAGAGAGAGAGAGAGAGAGAGAGAGAGAGAGAGAGAGAGAGAGAGAGAGAGAGAGAGAGACTAAGCCAGAATATGGACGTAAAAAACACACGCTGTACGTGTATTCCTGTTATTGAAACAAGAGGCAAGTTAAATGGTAAGAGCCAGGAGACAGAACTACAAGATAAAACGGAATGTGATAACTTCTTTCCCCATCACGTCTCTCTTTTCTATTGACAAAATATCTGTCACTTATTTCATTCTTTCCTTCCTGTTTTCCGTACATTCTTGTGTTTTAGATCTACACAGAGACTGACGGAGGATCCTTCGTGGCCTCCCGAGTTAATCGGTCTGCAGACAATTGCATTTTAAACTATAATCGTTAGAATATATCCTTCTTATATTAATATCTGAAGGATACCTTTTCCTAATGAAAAGACCGTAACTCGATTGTACCTCTGGAATTTCTTTTATTAGTTTTAGATTCGGAAGCAGATATATGGAGGTATATGTAGACATCCAATAACAGTTAAGAGAATGTGACACCAACAGGAATCATTCTTATATCTATTATCGTACAAGTATATTTAATTACTGAAGATGTTTTTATTTTATTTTCTTTTTTTATCTGTACATTAAGCATGATAATAAATGATTAATCAAAACAACGCAACAGCAGTTTGTGACAAGGATAAAAAAAAAAAAAAAAAAAAAAAATTAAGAGGAATGATCAAACCTCAACAATTCAGAAGTATTTTCAGCACAAATGAACCGCAAAATTTCAGCAAAAACTAACGTATTCTTTTCGCTTACAATCGAGTGACTCAATTGGATTGATTAATTAGTATATCGTGTGCGCTCTCTCTCGCTCGTTTAGGGTGAAATTAAATATTTTATGTTTCAAAAATATATACGATGTATTAACAAAAGAATATACAAACTGCGTGAGCGAGAGAGGCGGTGAAATGTTCATACGTAGATAAATATGTAGACAGATATAAAAATAGTGTCATGATGGATAATCTGTAATAAACTATGCATTTATAGCATTATCTCTTCCTCTTCCCTTCCCCCTCTCTCCCTCTCTCTCTTTCGATATTATATTATATATATATATATATATATATATATATATATATATATATATATATATATATATATATATATATATATATATATATATATATATATATATGTATATATATATATATATATATATATATATATATATATATATATATATATATATATCACTCATCCCATTTCCCCTTCTGTTTGTCTAATTTCACCCAAAATTGCTCTAAACCAAGCTAATCTTCAAGCCACAATTACAATCACTAAATCGTTATCATTTCCACATCTTTCTCGGTGTTTTCAGTGAGCTATTCTCATCTTTTCTGTCCTGTACTTTGCCAATAATTCACATTTCTTGGAATTAAACCATGAAGAGGAAATCAGTGAAGAGAATTCACTGTATAAGACAGCCGAGGTTGACGATTATGAAGCAATGTAATTATGGTGTGATATAGTGACGTCATATGACCCTGTTTTGGTCTAATGATCATAAACACCATTGTCCTGAAGGCACGTTTTACTCTTGTTAAAGATATCATTATTTTTTTTCAGTCATCAGATTTATTTTCTAATAATTAGTCAATTTACATTACACCTTTTTTTATCCTAAAATCATTTGTATTAAGTAATGATTCGACAAGTGAGTTTCAGTAATAGAAAAGTACATATTGATTTAGCGTATTTCACCAATCTATCATAACGTTGTAATTCAAGAAGACCGGGTATGCAGTGGGGAAAATAGCAATTAATCGATGTTTACATTTGATATCTCAATAATTTTGAATATAAGATTCTCTCTCTCTCTCTCTCTCTCTCTCTCTCTCTCTCTCTCTCTCTCTCTCTCTCTCTCTCTCTCTCTCTCTCTCTCTCTCTCTCTCTCTCTCTCTCTCTCTCTCTCTCTCTCTCTCTCCCCCCTCTTGTTTGTCAAAGGTATTGTTATCGAGTCAATTAAGACACCAATTATAAAATGATCAAGTAATTCTTACAGTTATCCTCCTTGTTTAATACGTAATCATAAAGACATTACACAGCAAAGGCAGTCCTGCTTGGAGATTAAGATTTGTGTTTAGATCTACACAGAGACTGACGGAGGATCCTTCGTGGCCTCCCGAGTTAATCGGTCTGCAGACAATTGCATTTTAAACTATAATAGAATATGGATTGCATATAAACTATTAAGAACTTGATCCATATTAATATCTGAAAGATACCTTTTCCTAATGAGAATACCTCGATAGTACCTGTATTTTTATTAGCTTTAGATTTGGTAGATATATATAGAGAGAGACAATCATTAACAGTTAAAAGAATGTGACACCAAAAGGAATTATTGCTATATGTATTATCATAAAGGTATATTTAATTACTGAAGGATAGCTTTTCTTCTTTGTGTGTGGAAATTACGCAATATAATAGATGTTTAATCAAAATTTAAAAGGTGGGACCTACCTGTGTCACTGCAATAGAAGAAAGGTTACTTGTATATCTTTACTGAAGACTCGATTTTTCCCCTTATCTGTAAATTACATTAGCTTTATTACAAATAAAAAAGCTAAAAAAAAAAGCTTTACAATTCCTATGTACTCCTTCGCATTGTAAACGCTGGAGAAGGAGACAGAAACAACGAAAGATATAGATGGTTAGGTAAGTAGATGGAAATGGAACTAAAAATGCATAAAAGATCTCCTTGACT